CCTCTTCTTCTCTCTCTCTCTCTCTCTCTCTCTCTCTCTCTCTTTCTCTCTCTCTCTCTCTTTCTTTCTCTCTGAGAACTTTGATGAAAAAAAGTAAAAGTTTTATTCCTTTGTAATGACAAGTTTTGCCTGTCTCATGAATAACGATGAGCATGACCGAAAAAGTGTGAGATAAAATGAAGTAGAATGGAATGAGATTAAAAGAAGAGAAATCAACTTTATGGAAAGGTAAAAAAAGAATTAACCGAGCGAGTAAAGTTAAACGGATTTAAAATAAATAATTCACAGCAATTTTAAACATAGCAACAGCGTGACGATTACTTCTTAATTTTTTTAGTAAATTCCTTCGAAGAAAGGAATTTATTAAAAAACATGAGAATTTAAACAATATAAAGAAAAAATTAAAACAGAATGAAAATTAGTAGCATACACATAAAAGATCCGTGTATAACAATGATAAATAAATAGTAGGATTTGTAATCAAATTTTTTTAGCTTTAATAGATTTTCATCTCAGTAACATAAAAAAAATGAGTGTCTCTTAAAAGATATTTTTGAAAATTAATAAAAACAAATTAAATTTATAATCATAAAATTTATAAATTTTTATTGAAGTGTAAATTATTATAAAAAATTAATATGCATTATAAGCAATTTTATTATTGTCGTTTGAATGTATTAAAAAATATGATTACTTACAATTTCTTGGCTAAATATTCGAATAACAAAAGTTAATCCGGAAACTTGATCCGAATAAACATTATCCAGAACAAAAGAAACGCAAAAATTGCTTTTAAAGTTTAAATAAGAATTACAGAAAAAAATGAGATTTTCCTGTCACGCATTATTAAAATTTCTTTCGATAGACTCTGGCTTAAATGATATCCTCTAGATCAACAATTAAAATAAAATTTTGACCTTAATCTGTTCGAAAGATGTCAAACATTTGTGATAATTATATTAGACAGCGAGTCTGGAAATAGTATGTTTGTATGAAAAATTCTGAAAAATCATTTTTCTGAGATGAGAAAAGTATTAATTAAACTTTTCATCAAAAATATTATTCAATAGTAAATATTTTTGGAAAAATATTGTAATCAAATGCTGTATATGCATGCGATGTAATACTTTACGTTATTACGACATATTAAATATTCAAAAGATAGAATTTAAAGAATTGTAGAATTTAGTCATTTTTTTACAAATAAGATCACAATTTACCACTAGGTTTTAAAAATTATTATAAAGAGATCATTTTTTTTATTCGCTCTTCCAGGTCATTGAAATATTGGCATAGTTTGACGAAATTTTGGCGTTCAAAAGAAATCTATTGATCGGCAGAAAAAGTAAGAGAGAAATAGAGAGATAGAGGGTATTTGCACGGTATAGTATACACTTCATGCTTGACGCACTTCATACTCTTGCGAAATTGGATATCTCTCTCTCTCTCTCTCTCTCTCTCTCTCTCTCTATCTCTTCCCCTGTCTTGAAAGTGCAACGAGTTACTGTAATTCGTTCTTCCGTTCATGCATGCACTGCAAACCATCTTCGATACTTCTCGATACGATTCAACTCTTCTCGGACTAGATCTCTCTTCCCTTTTTTTTTGCCTACATTCTTATCAATTGTTAATAAACGCTCGCATTTGTTTGCTTTCGTGTTTTCACTACGATAATGATGGAATCTCGAGTTTATTAATTATCATTATTTTGTTTAAGATTGACAAAAATTAATAAAAAGTAAATCAAAAGATTACTGTATGTAGAAATAATTTGTCGCTCAATTATAGAATTTGCTCAATCTTTTACTTTAAATAATAAAGTGCTTTGAATTTTAGGTATTCCGTCTTTGGATGTCTCGACATTACATGGAACATGAGAGATTATGTATACAAACATACGTAATATATTTTTTTTTAAGATTTTGAATATTGCATTAAATATATCAATCTTTATATTTTACAATTTTCTTTTTATTTCTTAAAAAAGAATAATTAAAAATTATAGTTTTATATAAAAAAATTGATATATATTGTATTGTTATTCAAAATATAAAGAAAATGTATTGAAGAGTAAACAATTTTCGATTAGTTTGATTATATAACGTCGCACATTAATCGTGGAATTTCATAAAAGCTGATTTGCAGCGGTATTAATTATATGCAAATCTCACAATCGTACTTGATTCTCTGTGGCAGTTACGGTACAGAATTCTTTTTCAACGCTAGAACATGAGATCTAACTTTAATTCGAACTCATGTTTAAATAAGACTTATTCTTTTCTCATTGTAGGAACAGAGTGCCTTATGTGGTGAAAAATAAAAAAAAGATAAAACTGAAAAGATGAATATTTCTTAATAGATTAAATTATTTTGATTTAATCAAATTTCCAGCAATTATTAACATTTGACTCAAAAAATGTATGATCAAGAAAAGTATATTGTTTAAAATTAATATTTAGAAATAAAATAATTCTCTTTCCTAAATCTATAAATATAATTTATAAATTTTTACTCTCTCTCTCTCTCTCTCTCTTTCTATTTATAAACTTTTTATGTTAAAAACATTCCAACTAGCCTCAATAAAAAATTTGTTACATTTATAAATTTATATTTTATTTTTTGTTTAAGATAACTTTACAAATTCTTTTATTAGTTAAATCAGAATTTGTAGAAATAATTATTTATGAAATGTAAATCAAGATTGCGATATATTTTATAATATAATTATTTCTTCACTATAAACAATTTTCCCCAACAATATGCAAAATTGTACGTATAGGTATTTAATAATAGAGTATCAATAATATATTATATAATGAACACCATTTATTTTCTTGTTCTGATAAAAATTTACTCATAGACTTCGAAATTGGTGAAATCAGCAAATTCTTACAAATTTTTGCTAGTTTAGATAAATCTTGATATCGGATAAAAACCAATTTCTTGGCAAAGGTAGCCAATAAAGTGTCGAGTAAATAACACTACGGACGTGATCACAACGTTTTCCCGTTTAAATGAGTCCAGTCGGTCAGAGAAAGATACATGAGACCTCGTTTTTCAAAGAATGTTTAAGATGAGGCGGCGATAGGATAAAAGCTGCCTTCTTTTTTCGACTTGTCAAGAAAAGATTTCCGTGTAATTATCAAGCTTTGTGTTCTTAAATTTATTGTTGGCTTGATAGTTATCTAAAATTTTTTTTCAATTATTAATAAATATAGCAAGTAACAAAATTGACAAGTTAGATAAATATGTATTATGTCCTTTTTGTTAAAATTAATATTAATTGTTAAATATTTAAATATAAAAATAAAATAAAATATTACAACGAAATGAATACTTGTATCTCATTACAATATCTCATTACAATATCAAATAATAAAAGATAGATCAGTTAAAAAATTAATAATTGTTAACAGAGAGATATTTCCATATGTTATTCGTTCGATATTTGGATATCTTGTTGAAAAAGATTTTTTGTGAAATTTAATCAAGTAATTAATGACATACATTTACCACGACTATATGATTCCATCAAATGTCTGTTTTGATGGAATTAAAAAGTGAATTCTGGAATAATATTCAATATTTAGATTTTCTCCGCATCTCCTTAAATTGCGTATCATAGAGACTATTTTGTTTTTTTTTGTTAATATCTACAAATCAAATAGAAATATAAATAGGATGTTGGATCAAGCGATACAATCATCTCCTCATTGTTAATCTGTTCCCTTTCTCTTGACCTAGTCTTCCGGATTGGCTCCATTGTGTACGGCAGAATTAACCCTTGAGTTCGAGATACCTCAGACCTTGCACATGTCACGTCGCTGAGAAAAGATTTGGAGAGATTCGGTCGAACGAACACTTGCATATTTACTTCTATTCTAAATATGTATACATATACGTTATACGCCTCATTGAAAATATGAGATCGTGCGTTATTAATAGATCAAAAATCAACAGAAATCTATTCAAGCTTGTTTTCCTTTTATTTGCAAATTTTCAATTTTCGAATCACTAATCTCTCTTAAGTTTAACATTTTACAATTTTTTAAGTAGTATGTCTTTATTTATAATTATCAAAATACATATAATAAGTTCAAATAAGGATATCTTTTAAAAGAACGAAAACATATGACAAAGGAAAAAATTTTTATTAACGATTGGTGATAGTAAACGATAAATTTTAAAAACAGTACCGATCATAAATCTCACGACATTTCTGCAAAAAATATTGCGCTTTTCATAATTTTCTTGAAGGGATATAAAATAAGAAACTCAGAAATAAGTATATTTATGTATGTATATTTTCTTTTGTGTTTCTTTATCTTATATTCAAATTTCAAGAAAATTGAAATTTATTATTTTTGACGACTAGAAATTACAGCTATTTCTCATAGAAAATAAAATATATAATTAATTATTTTTAGTTTTAAAATGTTTTATATGGTTTATATATGTATTTTTAATTTACGGAAACAAGGAGATATTAATCATACCTGGAACTATAAAGTACTCTGCCATTCTGATAAAGCCTGACAAACTTATTCGGACTGGTGATGGTATGTAAGTAACTATGCTTGCCATTGTAGAAGTACGTGTCGGGCTTCCAGATTTTCGCCAACATAGAAATACTCAGTGCAAGTGTTTCCTTGCCACCCTGAAATGCTAAACGTCTGTCGACCCACGACTGGCGAAAGTAACAATCCATTGAGTATGTCTGCGGGGAATTTAAAAATTTGATTAAGTTTTTATTTATGCATTTGATCATACATTGGATCATACATTTGAGTTCATCTTTCTGATATCATGTAATTTTAAGTCAATAATAATTTGTATAATTTGCTATTTATTTAAAACTGCTATTTATTTAAAACGCCAAAACGCCAAGTCTTGAATTAGTTTCCCGATTTAGACATCTACAATTAAAGTCAATAATTGGCCCGTGCCGTGTAAGATGAACAAAAAATACTAACCATATCCACTTCGGAAATAGGACCCATGCTGCGTACCATGATATCGACTTCGACGGTGGCCGGAGGCCCGCCGAAGTCTGGTCTGATACTATTGTCGTAACCACGAAGTAAATTATCCAATAGATCGCTAATATTGCTGTGATTGTTGCTTTGCATCCGCTGCCCGATGGAAATTTTTACACCCATAGTCGTCCTAAAACAAATATTATAATTTTATTAACCGATTAATTTGATGCCTGTCAATTTATATTTTTATAACAAAAAAACTTACTTTAAAACACACCATCCTAGTGTGAAGAAAAATATTCAAATGTTTTTTAATATTTTTTGAAATAAATATTAAATTTTTGTGTCATTTGGACAGGATCAATGTTTTTAATTATAATATTGATGAGGTCTATGTGTTTGGTACAAAAACTCGAAATCGATATGACAAGACGAAAAGTTGATATTCATCGATGTGACATGTGTTAAATAAATTGATCAATTGATTTGCAATAACAATACTCTAGGATTGTGAGTTTTAT